TAGGTAAGTTAAGTTTTTGGTTCTTCTTCACTTTGTGATATATTAAGAATGTATATTTTTAAATTTTCTTTTTTTATTTACTGTTTTTCACTTAATCACATTGAATGTATATGAGTGATTGTTTTTTTTAATCCAGATAACACGTAATATAAATGTTTAGCTATTTTATTTTATAGTTTTTTTTATTTAATCGCATTGAACGTGTATGAATGTTTAGCTTTATTTTAATGTTAATATCGATTATCAATATATGAAGTTATTCATATCGATTTTTTAAATGTTTTATACTTTTGATTAAATGTTTTTGATTTTGAAATCGACTATGTGTTATCTCACACTGAGTATCAAAGATACACATTTTATTATATTATTATAAGCTAGGTTACAAACATTGGTGTCGAGGACTTTTTGTATTATCTTTTCATTTTTTATGCCACTATACTTTCGTCATTTATATTATTTTGAACATTATGGTTAACCAATATTAACCATTAACCAAAACCGTTAACCGATAAAAAACATTAACCATAACTAATATTAACGATACCCAATGGTTACCAAAATGCATTAACCAATTATAATGGTTATGATTCGGTTTTAATCAATAACCGAACCAAACCGCCCCATACATACTCCTAACAAAAAGCTTATGTCGTTAGATATTTTCATTGAGACCAAAAACTGAATTTGTTTTAAGGAATCATTGGATCAAACTTTATTCTGGGTAAAGGAATTTTTTATTATTGTAAATACTAATTATTGGTAATATAAGGTATTGACTTTTTTACGTTTAACAAATTCAATTTATAAAAGAAAATTTGTACACTATTATTGTTATTATAGATCTCTTAATATGTGACCTACTCTTACATTTACACAGAGCACTTGTTCGTCTCAAGTTTCAATTGCGTCCATTTTCAAGAAGGTTTTCATTCAGGATTATTGATAAATTTGGTTATTAAAGTATTGTGTTTGTCACCATTTAGTCATAAAAGGTTAAATCCTGTTGAATTAAACCATAATGTTTTCCACTTGTATGGACACTACAACTCGCTATAACAAGTTTAACAGCCTACAAGTCGAAAATATTTATTTCTAAGTATTGTTTGACAATATATAGTTAAGAATTGTTCCATTTCATATGAGTATTCCTACACATTATCGAAGACAGAGATTCTTCCTATCTTGTCCACAAGACATCCATAACAACAACTTTATCTTTCCAGATTTAAAACTACAAAACCCAAATCACGTACAGCTTATAATGCACAACGTACAAGCTGCAAAGGATTTACCATAATCATGCATCGTCTCTTCTCAGCCTATAAAAACCATACAATCACTCGTCAACTTTTCTCTGCGTGCTTCCACCCAAAAACACAGATGTTGAAATTTGTTTTCCTTCATGTTTTCTTCTTCTTCTTCATCATCAATTTTGAATGTTCAAATGGGTTTTCAGATTATGATGCTTTAATGAAGCTCAAAGCTTCAATGGTGGCATCAAACAGCTCTGGAATATTGGACGACTGGAAAGTCGAAAACTCACACTGTTCGTTTTCCGGAGTTTCATGTGACGCAAACTTTCGTGTCACGTCGTTGACGATATCTTACGTTCCTATGTTCGGAACTATTCCGTCGGAGATCGGAATTCTGAACAAACTGGTCAATCTGACGCTTGTATCTGATAACCTCACCGGTCCACTTCCGATGGAAATGTCTAATTTGACGTCGATTAGATTCATTAACATCTCTAGTAATGTTTTCACGGGGGAGCTTCCGGGAGAGATTGTGGCGGGAATGGCGGAGCTGGAGGCTTTCGACGTTTACAACAATAATTTCAGCGGGAGGTTGCCGGTGGAGTTTGTGAAGTTGAAGAATCTGAAAATTTTGTATCTCGGAGGTAATTTCTTCAATGGAGAGATTCCCGAAGATTACTCGGAGTTTCAGAGTTTACAGATTTTAGGTTTGCAACAAAATGAACTCACTGGGAGGATTCCGGCGAGTTTATCACGTTTATCGACTCTTGAGCAGCTTCTCATCGGGTATGCCAATAGTTATGAAGGAGGAATTCCGACGGAGTTTGGTTCATTCAAATCACTAAAACTACTAGATCTCGCAGGTTGTAATCTCAACGGAGAAATTCCGGCAAGCCTTGGAAATCTTCAGATGTTACATACTCTATTTCTTCACTTCAACAATCTCACCGGAGAAATACCTCCGGAACTTTCCGGAATGGTCAGTTTGATGTCGTTTGATCTGTCGAATAACAATCTAACCGGTGGCATACCGGAGACGTTCTCGGAACTGAAAAATCTAACGTTGATTAGTCTGTTCGGCAACCGTCTCGCCGGTCCTCTTCCTCCGTTCATCGGTGATCTCCCGAATCTTGAAGTTCTTCACATCTGGGATAATAATTTCACGTTTGAACTCCCGCAGAATCTCGGTGGTAACGGTCGGTTACTTATGCTCGACGTCACTGGAAACCACCTTACCGGACCAATTCCGAAAGATTTGTGTAAAGGAGGTAAATTCTCGTATTTAATTATTGCAAAAACTTTTACACTATACATAGGAATATGGAGAATAATAGTAATTTAGATATTAGAATAACAATGGAATCACGGAATTTAATGAGTGTTGGCGTTGATCTCAGGCAAGTTACGACTTTTGATTTTAATGGAGAATTACTTCTTTGGGCCCTTACCAGAAGAACTTGGCAGTTGCAAGTCTTTAACGAAGATTCGAATCATGAAGAATTTCATCAACGGAACTATTCCCACCGGCATCTTCAACTTGCCGGAGCTTACCATGCTCGAGCTTGACGACAACTATCTTACCGGTGAACTTCCTGATAAAATGTACAGTCAGTCTCTTCAAAGTGTTTCAATGTCTAACAATTGGATCACCGGGAAGATACCTCCGGCGTTTGGCGATTTACCGAATCTAACAACTCTATCTCTCCAATCAAATAAGTTCGTCGGTGTAATACCGGAAGAGATATTGAAGCTGAAGAAACTGTATGAAATTAACGTCAGCGACAATAATCTCAGTGGTGAGATTCCAGCTTCCATTGCTACAAGTGTTCAGCTTACTTCCATCGATTTCAGCCGAAATAACTTCATTGGTGAATTCCCGAGAGGAATTTTAAGTTTGTTCAATCTAAACATACTTAATGTATCTCGAAATCAACTCAAAGGTGAGATTCCGACGAAATTAGGTCACATGAAGAGCTTGACAGTGTTGGACCTCTCCTACAATCAATTCTCCGGCAGAGTCCCAATCGATGGACAACTAAAGGATTTCAGCAACACTATCTTCTCCGGGAATCCTAACCTCTGTTTACCACAAATCGCTCATTGTCCGATCATCTCCACGTCTCAAAACAACAACCGTTCAATCACCACATCAAAGCTTATGATAGTCATCATCGCTGTAATCACAACCATATCATTATTCATACTAACATTCATCAAAATTAAAAACAAACACTTCGAGAGATCCAAAGTCTGGAAGCTAACCACATTCCAACGCTTGGATGTAAAAGTTGAAGACGTTCTTGAATGTTTGAAAGACGAAAACATAATCGGTAAAGGTGGAGCTGGAATTGTATACCGAGGATCAATGGCGAATGGTGTCGACGTAGCAATCAAACGGTTAATGGGTCGGAACCATGGATTCGACGCCGAGATCCAAACGTTGGGAAAAATCAGGCATAGGAACATCGTCAGATTACTCGGATACGTCTCCAATCGTGAAAACAAATTGCTGATTTACGAATACATGTCTCATGGAAGTTTAGGTGAGATTTTACACGGATCGAAAGGCGCACATTTACAGTGGGAAACCAGGTATAAGATTGCTATAGAATCAGCGAAGGGACTGTGTTACCTTCACCATGATTGCTCTCCGATGATCTTACATCGAGACGTGAAGTCAAACAATATACTTTTGGATTCCGATTATGAAGCTCATGTTGCTGATTTTGGGCTCGCTAAGTTCTTGAGGGATAATCATTCCGGTGCTTCAGAATGCATGTCCTCCATTGCAGGATCATATGGGTACATTGCACCAGGTACAAGTATCTATTGCATGTTGTCAATATATATTATTTGTTTGAAAAATTAAATATCCTCGTACATTTTCTTTCTACTTATCTTCCTACTCAAATAAAATGGTGATAAGTATCATTAAGTATCATATTTAGATAAAACTAATAATATTTTTAGACATTTATCATCATTTCACCAAATGAAATGGTAACGAGTGTCATATTTAGATAAAACTAATGATATTTTAGGACATTTATCTTCATTTCAAATTGATAGAAAGATAATTAAGAAGAAAAATAGGAGGATATTTAATTTCTCTATTTGTTTTGTATTTGTAATTTCGTATGTATCAACTAAAATTTTGTATTTTTTTTACTACAGAGTATGCATACACATTAAAGGTGGACGAAAAGAGCGATGTATACAGTTTTGGAGTTGTACTCCTTGAACTGATAGCAGGAAAGAAGCCGGTTGGGGAATTTGGTGATGGGGTAGACATAGTGAGGTGGGTCCGAGAGACCATAGCGGAGCATTCTGAGCCATCAGATGAGACCTCAGTAGTAGCGGTGTTGGATTCGAGGCTGAAAGTGTACCCATTGGCAACCGTCGTCAACCTCTTCAAAATCGCCATGAGTTGTGTGGAGGATGAAAGCACTGCTCGGCCTACCATGAGGGAGGTTGTTCAATTGCTCACAAACCCTCCAAAATCTCATCCGCAAACCCAACCATGCTTGCTCACTCCTTGAAGATATTGTTATCTAACTTGTTTGTTGATGTTTTGATGGAAGTTTGGAATAAGTTTTGACACTTTGTGTCACATATGATCATTAATGATGATTGTTTGTTAAATATGTTATCAGTATTACTTAGTTAATATTTACTATGAAACATTAGTTATTGATACTTAATTGTTCCTTATACATGATGTAGCATAATCTTTATATACTTAATCCGTCAAGCTCATTATTTAATACGTAACTAAATCAGCCAAATTTATATCACAACCATACAACCAAGAAAATAAAGCTATATAGACAAGTAGTCAAATGTTTCTATTACTTATGAGAGAAGTTAGAAATGTTAAGAAGTGCATTTTAAACGAAATTAAAGGTCTACTCTAATGTATACATACAAACATATAATTCACTGTTGGATAAACCGGATCTCCACCCCATACTACAAAACCAAGGGCAAATATGTCAAAAGGTTAATTATGCATTAACTTAATAATTGAAAAACTTACTTTGCTTACTTTGATCTTCTCTCATCCTCATAGCCAATGGATCTCTTGAAATCCGATGATCAGCTCCCATCATTATGCCATATTCAGCAGCAGTTTGACATGAAAACATTTCTATAAGCTGTGTGTTTTCATCTTCTCCAGTTTCTTCAAAATGTTTTTCAACAGCTTCACGTGATGGCCTTGAGAAACACCTGAAGGGTATATAAGTAATTTTACAAACTGTTTCAGCGTCAGGTCGCGTTTCTTCTGCCACCTGGACCATTGTTCTTTATCTGGTTTTCTCCAATTCCACCATAACTCTTCACTTGTAAGAGGCTCCTTAATTGGTTTTCTCTTTTGAGGATCAATAAACGGGTGTTAGCTCAACCTGCCCGGATATTGAGTCTTTACAGCTATGATATGGGGCCCTCTCAACAGATAGTTTCTCAAAAGATGGTTTCTCTTATCTGGTGGTATAGAAGAAATTACAGGTTCCTCTTATCTGGTGATACAGTTGAAAGAGTCGAAATCGAAAAGAGAAAGAGGGAGAAAACCCTTCGTTGGAAGAGGGTAAAAATGATAGAAGAAAAATAATGGAGATGGAAGCATACCAGATGAAGACGGATTGGCCGACAGTGGCCATTCCTGCCCGCCGGAGACGCCGTCACTGACCAGCAGCAGCTGCTGCCTTCACCATTTTCGATCTGATTCCGTCTCTAGCACTTTGAGGCACCAATTGATTCGATTAGTGGGAGAATCTATTGCAGCGAGAAGCATCAAATACCAATTGGTGACGGTGGGAAGCATCTAGGAAGCCGTCATCGATATATCTTTGGATGGAAATCGAATCGACAAAAGTACACAAACCTGTTAAAAGGGGAAATCTAGACGAAACAAACAAAGTTTGGCTTGGAATTTCAGAAAGAGGGGGAGAAGGGTGGTCATCGGCTCACAAACCCTAGGTTTGGTTGAGCACGACTTAAGGAGTAGAAATAGAAGCAATTAGTGTATACAGTTCAACTCATTAGAACTGGAATTTTAGCTACTGAAAAAGCTTCAATCGATTGATTTAATTCACATAAAAATTGGATTTTTCTAATCACATATTTAACTTTAAAAGCAAATCCAAACAACCTTAAACTGATATGAATTTTATTGGGTTTAGGGAATTAAGAATTTTAGAGATAAAATCTAAAAACATGTATGCCAATTCAAAATTTTGAATGAAATAAAGTTTGATGTACAAAACTACATATATGCAAGAAATCGATGTTTACATATAAAGGGGTAAGTGGTGGTCAGGGCATCTGATTCCAAATGTTGAAACTACAAAAAGAAAAAAAGAAAGTCAAGATTATAGATATAGGACTAAAATCAAGTGTTTAAAAGATAGAAAATGTTAGGTACTCACCTACAGACACATACAAACAAATAAATAAAAATACACACTTACATACAAATACACACAAACAAACAAATTCAAGCCCTAAACTTACCACCTCTGTTTTTTAGAGCACAGTATGATGATCACCATGTTGCATTGTTGTGAACTCTTTGAAAAAAAAAACAATAAAACAAAAGGAATCATAAAAATCTAAGTAAAATGTATGAAAGTTCAATCTCGTGTACAAAGTGTACAACAACAATTAATTACATGATAAGAGAAAATTGTGATTTTAATTATTACATTTTCAAGAGCAATAATAACTAACTTCATTGATCCATCATGGTAAAAGTCATTGTAACCTAGCAATGAGCTCGGATTGACAGATAGATCTCAACCATTTGAAAATCGGGGTTTCTCATTTTTTGCAGTCGCATTCTATGGTTTTGAATCGTACCTTACACCTTCTATCGTATGCAAAAGAAAAGAGAAATAGATGAAGAAACGAAAGCAAATAATCCTAGAAGACTATCATATGGACCAATATGAACAGTGGATAAAAGAAGCATTTAATAAAGCACAAAAAAGAGAAGAGAAAGATCGATGAATCTTGTGAAGACGATTTAAGAAATCCAAACGAATCAAGAGGTAGTGTTGTTCTTGGCAATAGATCTACTTGTTTCGTTGATGCTCCATCGTGATTTCAGGGGGGGTGATGAAGGTATGTACAACCAGTCAGTCGTTCTCCCACAATACCACACTATTTATATGCACAGATTTTGGGGAGATAAGGTGATAGTTGTGGGGTGATGAACAGTTCATAAAGAACGTGGGGGGATAACCATAGAAGCAACCGGGAGAGGGGGGGGGGGGGGGGGGAAGAAGAAGGAGGGTTCATGGGAAACCGATTGTTAGAACTTGGAACTGCACAACAACCGTAAATATCGAGTTGAGATTAAAACTTTCAAAGATGGTTGTGATATGGATGATGGTTTTCCACTCACAATCGTTCACAATATTAAAAATATCAAAAAAAAAAAAAAAAAAAAAAAAAAAAAAAAAAAAAACTACTGTTCATTAATAGCTTCAAAATTAAACTATATATTAATATAACAAAATATAATTGCATATAAAAAATTATATATATATATATATATATAAACCTTACGGTCCGGTCCAATTTTTATACAGTTTGAAAAGCTTGAAACCGTAATCAAAACCGTGAAGAAAAATATAAACCATAAAACCAAATTAATGACCAGTTTGGCTTAATTCACGATATCAAACCAAATCACGATCAACCCTAACATATATAGAAATGATTGTTAAATTTTTTAAAACCAAAAGAATATGTTTGTCATTTTTTTAGAAATATGTAACGCCGAAAAGATTGTTAAATTTTTCAAAACTAAAAAGCTTGTTTGTCCTAAAAATAATTTTGAAAAATATTTCTAACCCTTAATTTTTTATTTTTTTTTCAATTTGCTTTTTTATTTGTTTTTTCAAAAAAAAAATACTTGTTTTCTTTTTCTTTGGATTTTTCTTGCTTTTTTTTAATTTGTTTTATTTCCGAATTATTGTGCTTTTTGTTGTTTCTTAATTCTTGGTTGATTATGTTACGAATTGGAACATTGTTCTTATTGATTTTTAGAATACCATGGTTTGAAATATAATATTCTTTATATTATTGACGATTGTGAGTGGATAACCACCTGAAAAATCTTTGCCCTTCAAACTCCTCCAACTTTTAATCCTGACCATAATGACTCACTATTTACGGTTTCTTAGTTCCTAGAATTGACTACTGGTGGTTTCATATCAATCTACATATACTCTGACTTCCTTGCACATAATCTCCTCCTATTCAGCATACGTAAGTTTCTTGCTTCGTCCTTCTTCAACCTCCCACTTCCTCCTCCCTTTTCAATTAGTTTTCTTCTTTCCCCACGTCCTAGCGGTTCCTCACCCCCACAACTATATAAATAGAGGGGTGCAAACCTGGATAATTTTTTGATGCCTTAATCGCTTTTGAAGGTGTACAAGTCAAACGTGAGACTATTGAGGGAACGAGGACAAGTACAGTTTACATCGACAACATTACAAAGGTAATAATCAGTTCCTTTTAGTCTTAATTTTGATATCTCGAATTCCATAGTCCATATATTTTAGTGTCTTGTTAATACAATTAAAGATTACATAGCCAATTGGATTTCAGTATCTTTTTATCAATGTAATTGCTTCAATCGTTTGATCACTCATGAAGCACAAATCGACTGAAAATGTTTTTTTCCTTTAAAGAAAAACCACCCAAGATCAATTTCTTGAACATTCTCATGTTTTAATTCATGTGCTTGCAAAAGTTTAGGTTCTTTTACGTCTAAATTAAAATTCTCGGATATATTGTTCGTAATCTACTCCATCCATCAGGATTGTAAACCCTATAAGCAATGTATGATGATAATTTTTGCATCAGTTATTGAATTGCATAATCAACATGACGTTTGCATAATCTTCATCTTTCTTTGTCGCAAAAGCATAAAACCCCCAAATATCAAGCCATAAAAGGTGATTAACAAAATGAGAGGTAAAAACCCATGTCTCGTATTTGTTTCTATTTTTTGATAATTAATACTTCCATGTTGTTACTCAACAATTATGGTGTATAATCATCTATAGTTGGTTAACAATTAATGTTATACTAGCTTTGATGATTGTGGCCTTATTTTTTTATGATTGTGTGTGTAGCTTCTCAAATGGCACAATGAAAAGTTTTTAATCTCAAAAATCCCTCTGCTTACCATTATGGTCTATTTTTCTTGGATTTATGGTGTTATTGTTGGATTAAGTATCTAAGTCAACAACTGAATTAGTATATACTTAAATTATTTGCAAAGTCTTTGTGAGTTGCCTTCAAAACTAGCAATTGAATAGGATGACTTATATATATATATATATATATATATATATATATATATATATATATATATATAGAGAGAGAGAGAGAGAGAGAGAGAGAGAAAGAGAGAAAGATAGAAAACGATTTATTGATTTATTATATGATTAATAAATAGCAATAAATGAATTTATTAATATTTTATCAAAATAATATATTAACTAGAAATAGTAATATTTAATTAAAAATTAATCAGAAATTTTTTAGAATTAATTGGATTAATTAAAAGTGTAATGGTTAAATAACAAATATTCAATAGTTGAACAACAGAGATTCCAGAACCTTCCTTGGAAGGGGGATTGCTTCTAGGGTATTCCAGGGTATCTTAAATATTCATTGCAGATAAATAGGAAGCTGGATACCGATTTGAATTAATATTATTTTATTTATTTAACGGTTATATATGGTTTCCTAGTTGCACTATAAAAGGCGACCTTGACCTTCAAATTTCGACCACTAATTGTCCAAGAGCCAAGGCTAAAAATTTGATTTCCTCTCTCCTCTTTCTTTAAGTCTCATAGTTGCTATGATTGGGTGTGAGCCATCAGAGGCATGAGATTTCTGGTGTTTGCTTCGAAAAGCTTTGAAGAAGGGTTTTAGATTTGCTTACTATAACAAATCAAAAGGTATGTAACCTTCCTTATGAATTTTGATTTCATTAAGGTTATTGTAGTTTGATAATTCATAATATGATGCCTTCATGTGAAAGACATAGATCTCTTTAGGTTGCATGTACCATAATAATTTAATTGCTAAATGTTTTTTCCGGCTTAAAGCACTGTTGTTCTAACCTGCATTTTCCATCAGTTGTATCAGAGTCTATGGTTTTATTTCATCTAATTGCACATAAGTGAATCGAACAAACATAAAAATTCATTTTTTGTATCTCACGATGTAAGAGTTGATGCTCACGGCGTGAGATCTAAATAAATCGATTTTTTCGATGTTAATATGCCTAATATGTTTTGAATGCCTTTTATTTGGTAATTATCTATTTTATATCTACTAAATACGAATTTGCTATATATTTGATAATTAAATAAAAGCCTATAAATTAGGAGATAAATATTTGACTTGATTAATTATTTAATTGATTAATATAATTAATTTTTTAAATGCATAAATGATTAATTTAAATATTGATTAGTTGTAATAATTAATGTCAAATCCCTAGTATTTTAAAATGGTTTAAAACACACCTTATATATAATATTAAAAGGTTAATTACTATATGTATAAGACTAAGTCAATCAAATCTCTAGTATGCCTTATTCACGAAGCTGAACTATAAGAATGATATAAGGAAACTTCCTGTAAAATGGTAGTTGAATGGATGTCCACTCTCACCCTACGCTTCCTTGTTTGGTTGAAGGTTGTTAGCAGAAAGGTTCTGATAGGAAATTAACTTCATTTAAAGTATAATGCTATTAAAGTTACTCAACTAATTTTTTTAAAAAAAATCTCATTCTTAGTTAGTTTAGAAAAAATATGAAAAATATGTTACTTCGTAAAATTACACATTATACTTTATAGTAGTTCGTGGAGCATGTTTGGTTAACCGACACACTAATAGTGACTATAAAAGTAATAATAGGCATCTCGAAAATTATCATTGATTAATGGAGTGTGTGTGGTTAACCGGAACATTAATATGAGATGATAAATGACATCGAGAGTGTCAAACATATTTATATGATTCTTTACATCTTGTTTGTGATCCTCGGTATCCCAGTCACAAATAAAAGAGCATAATCTAAGATTAAACATTATATTGATAGATTCAGTGAATCTCAATAGATTTAGGAATTTCATTTTGATTGAAATTGGTAAATTGCGTTTGTTTACCTTTATAAATTCACAATAAGATTACGACATCCATTTTCTTAGTTGTGAATTGTTATTTTGGATCCTAACCTTAATTATTTATTATGGGTTAACCTATTAAGGATTATTGTCATCTAACGGAAACTATTGTTTTCACTATAGATGTCTACTCCTGGTGATGCTTCTGCTCCATCATCGTCTACCCACCACTCGAGTTTCTCCCTACTCTCTATCGTGTCCAAGGTGAATTTTGATGGTACCAACTACAATGATTGGATGTGTAACATAAAGATGGCTCTTCATTTCGATGGCAAGGAGTATGTCCTTGAAAAGGAACTTGTAGAGATCAACGAAGCCACTACTACTTCATAAAAACTAGC